ATGCATCAAGCAAAAATTTAATTATATGCAACATTCTCTGACTTGAATAAATTAGTTTAACATTTAAACCTATTTTCTGCACATTCCAGCACATAAAATAAAATATTTTTTGTGTTTACACTCACTCTTTCAAATAGATGCAAGTAAAGTAAAGTCAAAGACTCAGTAGTCCTGTTGCTCTATTTTCACCTGTAAAGCAGGAGTAGGGCAGGCGGAAGTTTACCCTGGTGCAGGTGTGCCGCGGTCAGTTGAAGAATCCGCTAGTTTCTCTGTGAGTTTCCCATTACGTCATGGCGCACTCGGTGCTTGCTTGGAAGTTTAGGGGGGTTTTTTTCGCTGTAAAAAGAAGTTTTCTTCCCACGCACGATGGACGCTAATGTTTTTGTCACTTTTTACGGAATCAAACTCAAAGTAAGGTCAGTACTTCCACGCTTTAAACGCTGCACGCTCATACTCTCTCCCACAATCGATATATGATCCATTGTTGATCTGCACACAGCTGTTGTCACCAACGTCGCACTCGCTTACGTCACTGTCATGAGACATTCTCTCAAAAAATCACGGTTTTAGTAACGCATTAACGCAGCGTTCCTACAGGAAAGTAACGGTAATCTAATTACCGTTTTTGCAATAGTAATCCCTTACTTTACTCGTTACTTGAAAAAAGTAACCAGATTACAGTAATGCGTTACAAGTAACTCGTTACTGCCCATCTCTGTTTGTCAGAAGTTTGCAAGAAAGATGCCAACTTGTCTTCAAGTACAAACTTCTCACCAAGCGGTGGGGGAATTGTAAAAAGTGCAACACATTCAAGAAACCTTTCACCTTCAAAGTAAAAGTTGTGCATTTTAAAATGTTGGCTACAGAAGTAAGGCACAACTTTTACTCAAAAATCATTTTACATGAACATTCTTCATTTTCTGTTTGGGTTGCACTTTTTCAAGTTTCACTACAGCTCAGATAGCAAGTGGTGAGTGTTTGCAGACAAGTTGGCATCTTCCATGCAAACTATGGGCGACCAAACTAATCTTTTAGCAATCAAAGCAATTACAGGGAGCTTTTTGGTGTGTACCTTCTCACCAATCTCACATTTGGACTGCCAGCAACTACTAAAAAAACATTTGGGAAATAAACATTTTACCTTAGTAGCTGGAGATTGCCAGAGGTCACAAACCGGTCTAGGTTTGTGTGACTGAGACTCTAAACTTCAGAGGCTCAGGGTGTTAACTTGTAATCCAAGTTACCCCCCCCCCCAAGTACCACAGACACAAACCTACTCAGATATCTTGTCAACGTCATGTCTCCTCATTGTGGCACCTCACCTCATCCTCCTCACCACGTCAAACACATTCACACGGTTCCCAGATGTGATAGATTAAGTGTGTCTCAAACTGGTATATGTAAAACAGTAATGTCCCCCCTTAGATAACTTGTATAAGTGTTATTACCTGCAAAATGTAAAAAGCTTACAATACTGACATTAAAAAGGCGACAGGTTACTGAGTACTGAATGGCTGTATGATTTAAAATGAGTTAAAGTTCAAATGTGGCATATTGAAGCTGAAGGACAAATTTCCTCTTCTTTCATTTTGAGTTTTTTAGATAGAGCTACAGAGCCAGTGCAGTGTCCTTTGTCATGGTCTTGCATTTGAATAAGTCTGGAAAAGCACTGAATTTATTACTGCCCATTTATCTAGGTCAGGGTGGATAGTTTCATAAGCCTGTTCAGCAAGTCAAGTTCAGCTCCCCCCGTGTCCTGCTCTGATTGATTCTGATTAACCTTTTTTCTTTATCCTAATGGCAAACAAGTCTTTGAATGGTAAGCTTCAATAGACGGTGTGGCAAAAATGTAAATCAATTGTGTGAAGTGTCAAATTCAAAGAGCAAAAATGCTCTGCAACACACACTAACAGTGAATATAATGGCAGCGCTCTAGCTTGTCACTAGCTTTTTCTTATTCAGATTGCTGTGCCTCATGAGAGGTGTTTTACATCAGCACTCAGGTTTTTGCTTAAATATGCCCGCTGCTTTTCCTCCTCTTATGCAAGACTGCATGTGCTACTGTGCAAAAGCACACTTTAACATACAATGAATGTGTGTCACTGTGCCACTTCCTGATCAGATATATGTAGGTCAGTGTGTCGAGTGAGTGTAAGATTGCTGTTTCTGATGCCCACCCACAGATGGCTTGTGAGTAAGGTGTAGCTCCTGAGACACATACAGGTGCTTTCTGAGTTATTAGCGTAAAACAGACTAATAGAAAGTAGAGTGCTACAATAAAAAGTAAAATACATGTCACTCATTCATTTAAGTTGTCTATATTTTAATTCCTCCACTCTTGTTTTCCACCTGTATAAATAGGATACGATGGTTGGCGTTTTTCCAGCTCCACAGTGTAATTGTATAGCTGGATGAAAAGGAACAGTTGAATGTTTCTGAACTGTCAGGAACCTGAATAAACACTTGGCGTTACAGCATTACACTGAGCTGCTCATCGCCATGCTGTAGCTGTTAGCACTGTGTGAAAACAGTGCTAATTGGGAAACGGCTGAAAAAGCTTCTACAGGGTGGGCCATTTATATGGATACACCGTACTAACATGGGAATGGTTGGTGATATTAAAGTCCTGTTTGTGGCACATTAGTATATGTGAGGGGGCAAACTCCTCAAGATGGGTGGTGACCATGGTGG